GTACATGCGGGTGGACATGCCGGTTGGCGAGGGTGGGTGGGGGAGTTTACCTATTGATGGTGTGAAAAGGGAATTTTAAGAGCTGCGAAAGTTTGGGGTACCACTACTTGAAAAAATATACTGTACCATTGAAAATTAGTTTAATGTTTGGTTCGATTTAGAACATTTTTCCAATGGTTGCTTAATTTGAAACCATCTTCTCGGTTTAAATTGTGTTTGTAGATCTGAATTGCCTCGTGAACAAATCTCTGATAAAAACCCGTGGGTTTGCAAAGAACCTTGGTATCGGAGAAAATTATATCGTGATCACCCACAGCGTTGTAACAGTGATCAGCTACGACAGAAGAATTCGTTCTGCCGTGTTTCAAATCTGATTTGTGCTCGCGAATTCGGTCAGAGACATGTCGCTTTGTCTCCCCGATATAGCAATCACCGCAGGTACAACTCAATTTGTAAACCCCGGGGTACTGTAAGTCAGGAATGACATCCTTCACGGATGGGATCAGATCACGAATTTTGTGTACTGCATTGAACCGGACCTGGATCTTGTGTTTGTTTAGAATTTTGGAAATCTTTTTAGTAACGCCTGCTATATATGGTAGTGTGATGGTTTTGACCAGAGTATCAAGTGGTTGTTTCTGTATGGAGGTAGAAACAGCTTGGCGGATGGTACGGTCAGAGTATCCATTCCTTTTGAGGGCCAGGTGTACATGTTTTAATTCACTGGTCAGGTGTATTACTCGACCAAATCAAAACATGCTACAGTGAGGAAAAAAAGTATTTGATCCCCTGCTGATTTTGTACGTTTGCCCACTGACAAAGAAATGATCTGTATATAATTATAACGGTAGGTTTATTTGAACAGTGAGAGACAGAATAACAACAAAAAATCCAGAAAAACGCATGTCAAAAATGTTATGAATTGATTTGCATTTTAATGAGGGAAATAAGTATTTGATCCCTATGCAAAACATGACTTAGTACTTTGTGGCAAAACCCTTGCTGGCAATCACAGAGGTCAGACGTTTCTTGTAGTTGGCCACCAGGTTTGCACACATCTCAGGAGGGATTTTGTCCCACTCCTCTTTGCAGATCTTCTCCAAGTCATTAAGGTTTCGAGGCTGACGTTTGGCAACTCGAACCTTCAGCTCCATCCACAGATTTTCTATGGGATTAAGGTCTGGCGACTGGCTAGGCCACTCCAGGACCTTAATGTGCTTCTTCCTGAGCCACTCCTTTGTTGCCTTGGCCGTGTGTTTTGGGTCATTGTCATGCTGGAATACCCATCTACGACCCATTGTCAATGCCCTGGCTGAGGGAAGGAGGTTCTCACCCAAGATTTGACGGTACATGGCCCCGTCCATCATCCCTTTGATGCGGTGAAGTTGTCATGTCCCCTTAGCAGAAAAACACCCCCAAAGCATAATGTTTCCACCTCCATGTTTGACGGTGGGGATGGTGTTCTTGGGGTCATAGGTAGCATTCCTCCTCCTACAAACACGGCGAGTTGAGTTGATGCCAAAGAGCTCCATTTTGGTCTCATCTGACCACAACACTTTCACCCAGTTGTCCTCTGAATCATTCAGATGTTCATTGGCAAACTTCAGATGGGCATGTATATGTGCTTTCTTGAGCAGGGGGACCTTGCGGGCGCTGCAGGATTTCAGTCCTTCACGGCGTGGTGTTACCAATTGTTTTCTTGGTGACTATGGTACCAGCTGCCTTGAGATCATTGACAAGATCCTCCCGTGTAGTTCTGGGCTGATTCCTCACGTTCTCATGATCATTGCAACTCCACGAAGTGAGATCTTCCATGGAGCCCCATGCCGAGGGAGATTGACAGTTCTTTTGTGTTTCTTCCATTTGCGAATAATCGCACTAACTGTTGTCACTTCTCACCAAGCTGCTTAGCAATGGTCTTGTAGCCCATTCCAGCCTTGTGTAGGTCTACAATCTTGTCCCTGACATCCTTGGAGAGCTCTTTGGTCTTGGCCATGGTGGAGAGTTTGGAATCTAATTGATTGATTGCTTCTGTGGACAGGTGTCTTTTATAAAGGTAACAAGCTGAGATTAGGAGCACTCCCTTTAAGAGTGTGCTCCTAATCTCAGCTCGTTACCTGTATAAAAGACACCTGAGAGCCAGAAATCTTTCTGATTGAGAGGGGGTCATATGCTTATTTCCCTCATTAAAATGCAAATCAATTTATAACATTTTTCACACGCGTTTTTCTGGATTTTTTGTTGTTATTCTGTCTCCCACTGTTCAAATGAACCTACCATTAAAATTATAGACTGATCATTTCTTTGTCAGTGGGTAAACCTACAAAATCAGCAGGGGATCAAATACTTTTTCCCTCACTGTATATACATACTACACAACTTATGAACGTAAATACATATTCTGTTATTGCATTTAATATTATAATAATGACAATTTACATCCCTATGCCAATCGACTGAAGGCCTCCCCACATGCCGTGTTGGTCATGGGGTTTGTTGACGATACTTCACCATGGTGGCCAGGAACAGAACCGGTTCAAATATCATGGACCACTCCCAGTAAACATGGGACGTTCGGCCAACGTTTCCAACGACATGGCAACGTTAACCCAACATTGCCATGTTTACCCAACTGTTGATAGGCCGGAAATCGAATTCAGGTTGTCATGTTCAGAGCATCATGCTTACCACTGCACCACTGCTCAACCCAAGAAGTTGATCTTTAGTAACTTTTTTTTGAATCACTTGAAGTGGTGTTGTTGCATGGGAAATTGGTAATATTTCAGAAATAACAATATAGTATATACCAGAAGCCGATAACTGGTATGCTGTATCAAGAAAACATCTACGTATGTTATGTACTACATTTGTTACTGAAAGATAATTTAACACGTCACATACACTCATATACAAAACAATGTTTCACTTGGCTTGATTCCACTGGTAAAAGTTATGCACGAGGGTAAACACCGTTGGAATGCCGTATTATCATCAGTGTGTTGCTTTTATCATCATGCTCTATTAATTCACGAAAATACTGTTTCAAGTGCTCGTTTGCAGCCCGAAAAACGAGCATTGCTTTTACTTTCAAACAATGTAAAATATTTGAACCAACGTCAATCGCATTAATTACACGATGGCTAAAATAAAAAAATAAAACGCTTTACTTTTTTTTTAAGATGTAGAAGTGAGGGATCTACTCTGCCCCTATTGGGGAAAGCGACACCTTTCATAGCAAATCCCAGTCCAGGCACCCACGGAAATTTCCCTCTGATAATAGCAAAAGGCCTGCATGAACAACAACACTAGCTGACATGTATTTCACGCATCTTGAGTTAAAAGTCATTGTTTAGTTGTGCACACCGCTCATGGTCACACTTGATTATTAAATGGTAATGCGTAATTTAATATTTCATTGGTCAAGTATATCGGGCAGTACGCTTACTTCTGCTTTGTTCCCACTGAATTCGCACACCGGTGAAAATTAATTGGCTTCTGTTGGTGGGCCACTGCCAGGTACCAAGCTTGAACCAGCTGTATTGTGATTGCAAATGCTAATCCTTTTTGGAGAGTGAATTTATCCACGTAAAATGCAATGATTTTGTTGTTTCACTTGTTTTAGTTTATAGACATTTTTGTCAATTTACTGCTGGATTAAGTCCCCCCCATGACTTTCAGTCAATGGGGGCTGTTTGACTTATTTCACCAAAATGGCCAGTGGCAGTTTATGAAGAGGGGGCCCAAGACTGGTTCAGATATCATTCTCCACTGATGTTAGCCATCGGTATCAATCAAACACAGGCCATTGGGTTTATTGTGGAATCTGCTATGGATGAGCGCGGGGGGCGGGGGGGGGGTCATTGGCACGGTGGTTAGTGCACTGCGCTATTAAACAAGTGACCTGAGCTCAATGCCAGACCATGGCTAACACCAGTGGAAAGTTACGTCTGAACTGGTCACAATTCAGTTTCAGAATACTGTAGATATATTTTTTAAAACGACAGTACTGTATTATGAAGCAGTGCCCCTAGTGGCTGCAGGGATCACATGAACCCATACCATACAACATTTACAAATCACATTTCTCGCATACGATTCGATGTATGTACTGTATCTGGAACACAAACCTGATTTGATGCATCGCTAGACTAATACTTGTTCATTTCTAGGCAGGTGGTGTCTATGTTCAGAAAAATGTAATCAAATTAATTCACCATACATGTGCAGAGTTTTATGCTTTTTGCTGGACTATCTCGAGTGTACTGCACCAAATGTGTATGCATAGCTTAATATATCACCAAATATGTCCTGGATCATGATATAGACATGTGACTAGTAGCAACAGCTATAATAATAAGTATACTGGATGAGGTGTGCCGTCTACAGAAATATGTTCTGGCTCACTGACCCGGACAGGCTTGGCTGTATTAAGCCCTGGTTTTTTATTCCTACAAATGTCCAAGGAAATTCTGTTTCTGATCTCTAAATAAAATTCTCCTCATACCATGTTGCTGTGGTAACCAATTTCTTTACAAATTAATTTCCCAAAAAAATATATATCCCTGATGTCAGCAGTGAAATGGCACAGCTGTGGACACTGCAGTGTCATTAACTTTTTGCCATTTTCCAGATATTTCCCTCGGAAATTCCCTCACTAAAACCCCCCAAAAATCCAGTCTTCAATCCAAGTTTCCATGGTTACGGCTCCTTCAAAATCAATTTCCCATTGGCTGTCTCTGTTTTCCTTCCTGCAGTTGGTCAGGCTCATATGTGCCATGATTAAGTTTCATCTACTGTGACACAGCCATTTTCCAGACATTCTCCTCATACATGTTCTCTATTGAAAGTAAAATTACATCTCCAGACTAAAGCAATGGTGGCTATGGAAACATTGGTCAATTATCCATTTTCATCACGGTTGAAATCTAGAGACAGAAACTCTGAGGATTTTTGAAAGCCATATTGAATAAGTTCTTACCAAAGTCAATTATTTATTTGTTCATCCCTTTTGGAATCTTGAAAAACACCTTGCAAGAATTTCAGTATAAAATAGAAGACTGTGATAACAAATGGCTGCATATAATTGATATGCTTAAAACAAGTAAAACCCGTTTTTTACAATTCAGTTAAAATTTAAATAAATATAAGTATAAAGGGGTGATGGACTAGTTTACTGTCATAAGCGATTCAATGATTTGCAACATGTCCATTACCCTTAACTAGATAGTGTTAACATGTATTAGCTACATGGCATTTGCAAACAGAATGTTAGTGAAAGGTTATGTATTAGAAGGAAACATACTAATTGTGGTACATGTCGTTTCCATTTCATGGTCGCCAAAATAAATGTTAAACTTAATAAGGCTTTTAATAAATGTAGCAAATTACAATCAAGAAAAATGTCCAGGGCTGGATTATGGTCATTCTAAAAACTAATTAAGAACTTTTTAAACTGGTAAAAAAAACCTCTGTTTTATTTGAATTAGGTAACTTTTGCCAAATTAAATATAAGTAGAATTTAAAATGTCTAGTATTCATATCAGTATTAAATAAACCGTCAGGAACAAGTGATAAGCAGTATAATAATGTTGGATAGAAGCCGTTTGGTATAAATTCCCTCAAAAGGACTTCTTGAGTTGGTGATGTCCATAATGGGAAACCTTGACATTCCATCTGCTCCAAGATCACTTTACCAAACAAACTTAAAGAAAACACAATATTTAATAGCGTAGATGGGAAAATAATATGAATATCGAATGGACGTAACTATTTTGCTTTGATTGACCTTGAATATAGAAAGGGCTACATTTAGAATTAGTGGCAACAGATATTTACGAATGATCAATGCTGTGCTTTGGACAGGTCTTCATTGGCTTCCCTGCATTAATAGCTGTGACCCTTTAATGATTCAATGAACGTAAAACATTGATGCAGTATCAGCCTTACAAATGTGCTGGAATGAATCAACGTAACGGCATGAATTGACGTTTGCCTCGTGTTTTTAATGAGCCCTCCATCCTACAGTTCGTCGTAGTTCCAAGTCTGTGGAGGCATCGCCCTCTGTTGGAATCCTCACCCCATTGGTTGTCTTAAATTGTTAGAGATATATTTGCATTATTTGGGTTATAAACACGTGCTTAAACGTTCTATATATAAATAGAAAAGACAAAAAAAACACGTTAAATACTGTTTACTGTTGCAGGAAATGTCATATTATGGTTTGTAAGTATTCAATTATAAAAATGCTTTCCTGCAATAAAATAATAAAAACATATTTCCATTGCAGTCGTCTGGTTAATAATACGGCAACTATTTTCATGTTTAGAGAGGGCACGTCGAGATTATTTTTGTAAGCTATCAGCAGGGACAATTGACTTCGCATAATTGCATTGGGATAGCTCATGTTGTTTACTTCACAAGACCTTTTTGTGTGGGTTTATTTTTTACGATGAAACTTCTGTTTATGTTAGCTGGGCATTGGTGCGGGAAAGACGTGGTGTGCTAAATGACGATTTCTCGATTTCTCTCTCTCTCCATCCAACCTGTAATTATCTCTGAAAAGTTTGACCCCCACACAAGTGAATCGTACACTGTCCGTCTTAAAACAAAAAAAGTATATCTGAAGCCTCGTCATTACTGTCGTGGACAAGCCCAGAGTTCCGAATGTTTATCTCAGCGCAGCAGCTTCCTTCCTGGTGCCCGTCTCTTGCATCTTGTTGGCAAAAATAGGAAGTCACAACGTTGAAAGTTACGAGTGAGGGGTTTTAAACGAAGCAGAAGCGGTCGAGCAGCCCTTGGGACGTACGCATGCTTTTGCCGCTGGTGTTCCCATGCATTGAACACAGTAAGTAAAGCAGCACAACGCTCCGTCATGATTTCTTGTGTTGCATAAATCAGCACATGTGTGATTTGAATGTATGCATGTACGTACTTTTTATAGTTAACACTTCATATCAAAGTGGTGGTCGTAATGTAAGAGTTTGCACTTACTATATTAATGTGAACTTCGGTAGTTTTTTGGGGGGGTTTATATGTAACTGCTATGTAATGCTATATAGGGCTTTCATATACATGATTTGGTTCTATAATCTAAAAATCTGCTATTCGTATGAATAATATATGAAGGATTTTAAATACATAGGCACAAAGTAGGGGGCTCGTAGATCGACTATAAGTAAGTTCATTAACTCTGTATTATGTTCTGTGATTGTATGCAACACTGTAAAAGTTAGGCCCTATGTGCTCATGTACCTATACTCATATAGCATTAAGTCAAATTGTTACGTGTATATTCTAGGAATGCATTAGGAACGAGCTTTAAATCATCATCATCATCAACTGCCCCACTCGTCATCTCATTAACAAGAACGGTGACAATCACATGTCCACCATGGTTCTCTATCTCAAGCCAGGGCTACTGCTGCATCATCATCAACTGCCCCACTCGTCATCTCATTAACAAGAACGGTGACAATCACATGTCCACCATGGTTCTCTATCTCAAGCCAGGGCTACTGCTGCGCTCAATCTCGATCATTGCTCTTCGAGGTATTTAACAACTGCTTCTATCCCCGTACTTTCCTGTGATCCTCTACTCCTGTTGCCTTCCATTTCCGTGTCTCATTTCCAAGGAGAGCAATCCTGCCCACTCCGGTTTTCCCGTATCGTCATGTTTGTAGTTTTTTATATTCCTGTGATCCATCTCAACTAACCCATCTCGCTCGCTTAGACCCTTTATTCACACAAAAAACCGCCTTGCCGACAGGATAGGTGGTTTAAATGTGAGCTTCTAATTTACAAGACGATATGTTTGCGTTCTTTGGGGCTTAATAAACATATACCGTGCATTCGGGTGCAGTCTCATGATGCCCATACATTTCACGACTCACCATTATATACATGTCGATTACCCCGCTTCTGGACAGCCGTAAATATACATGGGTATTCCACGGTGAATGTATCGGCAGTTCGCATCCGTGGGTACTCCAACCTCTCCCAAAACGTCTAGCCAGCATGGAAGAACATGCCAATATTCCCTGAAGAGAGGCTCCTCACAGTTCCCTCTCGGAAAGGTTCTCACGCCAGCGTAGGCTGTGAGAAAAGTAATTTTCAGGGCTGCGCCTTTACATCGTATGTTGTATCTGTGCACTCTTAACGTAAGTTCCAAAGCGATTATTTGATTGGGGGCCCGGGCGAGATCGATGAAGATCAATGCATCGTCCACCTCTTAAATGACACCGAGGGTTTTGGCTGGAGAGTTGCACACTTTTATCCCGAGTGCTTGCCGTTTTGCTCCGTGTCGTCTCGAACGCCAGCCAAGCACGCGTGTAACAAGCCACATGGCTGGCCACTGACTCGTTCTCGTTAGGCCGGCCTGGATTCTGCACGAGGTTTCGTGGAAATGTCAATAACGGCGAGGCGAAGCACCTTCTTCACTTACGCCGCAACTTTTTTTTTATGGGGGCGAGCTGCGCATAACCTCGTTTTCCTGCCCACGGAGCCCTTTTGGTTAAAACGAGCAACGGTAACTTCTTTTAGGGCGCTGACATTGTCCAAATGAAGATGTGGCGCCCGTAAAAGAAAGAGGCGAGATGCCAACATCCCACAATTTCCCCTTTTTGGATACAAAATCCGTGCCGTGAAGACGCTAAATTTGGTCTCTCTGGGTTCCGCGTGTGTCACAGGGGAGCGGTGGTGCAGCGGTTAGCGCTCTGCGCTACGAACCCGGCCACCCGAGTTCGATACCCGCCCACGGCCAACACCGGTGACGATTTTCTGAAACGGTCCTGGGCCTCCCATAGGTCGACTCAGCCTCAAATGAATACCTGGTGTGGTGTGTAAACATCGCCGCTAGGAAGACAAAAGCGACTGGGCGTGGTTGCTGGCTACCCACCCCCTCGTGCGCCGTGCTGGCCTTCACAGGTGCTCACTAACAGCACTTGCCCCAACAGTTCTTTCAAGGCTATACGGGGGATCTTTGTCCTTGTCACAGGGCTTGTGCCACAATCTACGCCTCCATTCTGTTTCACTCAAGGTCAAATACACGTTCACAAGCAACGTTCCAGAGTTCCCTTATATATGAAAAAAAACCGCTTCCGTTTAAGCACGCATGTTGTTTTGTGCCTGTTACATTTGATTTAATCGTACCCTTTATGTGATGATGGAAATAATAACAAGCTCACGGCTTTTTTTTTGTTCAGATGCGCACCAAAGTCTAAATTGTTTGTGTAGGCAAAGAAAACAACGTATTTCCGACTGGTGCCGCATTCATCATCTTGGCTGGTTGCGCCAACAATGCCAATTGAAGAACACTGGGCCATACGTTTTCAGATTTCGTGGGAGACATACATGTGGAAGATTATACTGTATTTGAAACATCGTGGTATCAACTAAACCTTCCATTAGCGAGCCTAAGTGTGCACATGACTTGGGAGCGGTTACGCAGGGGTTAGCCACCTACCTGTTAACCCGAGTTCGATTCAGGGCCACGGCTAACTAACAGTGACGAGTGATGTCAGAATCATCAACACCCAGTGACCATCGCGGCGAATTACCGTTAAATAACCATCACCAGTGGATTGACAAAGGGCTATATGTTAGGGCTATGTTATAATAATACAGTATTGATATATTGTATGTGTGTTGAACTTCTTTACAACTGTATGTAACCAACCGTGCTAATCAGAGGTGTGGTACATTGCAGTACATCGCGTGGTGTCTGCAGGCATCAACACGTGGCATCAACTAAGGCTGTTTTCAGTCTAAATGAATGAATTGATATATCGTGTGGTGTCTTTATCTTGCATTGCTTACACTGAAATGTTAACCGATTACATATTGCACATAATGCACGGTACGTTTTTTGTCTATGCAGGACCCTTCGGAGATTCTAGGCCCCCAGCTTAGCTGCGTCTGAAAGTTCACAATTACGCAAAAGGATGTGCAGTATTGACATCTAGTGGAGAAGTGCTGCCAATCTGGAAGAAAAAAAACCCATTCAATTCAAAAGTTGCGAAGCAACGATTATTAATCATTGCTCTCATGCGAGTTGTGAATTTACTAAAGATCCGTCTTCAACACGTGTTGGGTCACATACACAGTACGTACTCCGCTGCCTCTAAAACGTCCATCAGTTTGACGCTTAGGCTTTCGCGACCAATATTATTCATAATAAAGGTGTTTTGGTTTAGATCGTTTAAGTATAAACTGCGTCGTTAACCCGCCACCACCCGACACAGACAATCAGTAAGGTTGATCACGTATTGGCGGGTTGACACATTTATACTTACGCGATGTCACCCAAAAAACTTTATTATGAATACATTCGTCATCGCATTCACGTGTGTTGCAGCCTTTGTTACAACTTTGCCTGCAATACACACTGCGCGAATCCGAAGTGGAAAGCATAGCGACTTTCAGCATTTTCACGAGCAATTGAACACATTCGAAAACACCTCGGTGCAGCGCTGCATTAGCAGCGAGCGAGTTCGGGTAGCATTAGGATTGACCATGGCTGATGAGGATGATGAGGCTTTATAGAATGTAAAGTTGATTGCAATGTTAACAGTGTATTAAATTTAGGTATATGAAACGAAGACCTGTTTTTTGCCCACGCGGTTTACAGATCGCCCAAGCATTAAATGACCCAATGCAACTTATACAATTTTTTACGGCACATACATAAATGGCTTTTACGGTGTACTCTATAATATTATATATATACCACGCAATCGTGTCTACACGTATAACCCTCACGCTTAGGTGCACTCCGTGCTATATGATACGTGTGTGTGGGGAGCGGTTGCGTAGTGGCTAGCGCACTGCGCTAAGAAACCCGGCGACCCGATCTCGATTCCCGCTCACGCCCTACATCAGTGGCGAATATCTGAACCTAGTGCGTGGGCCTCCCCCAGGTCGACTCGGCCTCAAATGAGAACCTGGTGCGGTGTGTGAACATCAGTACTGGGGAGAGAAAGGAGGTCGGCAGTGATGTTTGGCACCCTCTTGTGCCGTCCCTGCTACTCGCTAACAGAATTTACCCCAAGAGTATGCTACGGCTGTATGGGGGATTTTTGCCTACACAGTAGTGTACATGTACATTCCTTAGACGAGCATGTATACCATAGTTGCACGCGTTCTATCTGTCGCATGGCCAATAGTGGGTTCCGTATGTATTAGTTGGTTCAAAATGTAACACAAATTCAACATACTCTTCACATTGAATTGAGCCTTCATCCAGCAGTTGATTATGGCTAGTGATTATATATACAGCAATGGTTTAAGATTAACAAAGCATGCAGCTCTTTGTCAATCCACTGCTGGATAAAGGTCTCACCACGCCCGTAGCGGTCATCGAAGTAAGTGTACCATACTTCCCCACGCCGGTCTGTTTGGGTTGACAAAAGGGGAGGGAGGGGGGTAGAGATCTCCAATATTAGTTTATTTATTGGTTTTGGCCGCGTTCTGGAATCGACTTAAAGTAGCGTAGTGTGTTAAACCACTGCGCCACCGCTCCACAATGGCACACAATTACCCAACGTGTTTAAACGCACTGCGCGTTCGCTCTAATTGCAATTACCGCACTGTATAGCAGAAATTGTGTCGTAGGAATTAGATGGGGGAGGGAGATTTTTTTTTTAAATTCCAGCCAATCTCAATCCAACAATGTATAGAGGCTTCCCCACGCCATGTCGATCATGGGGTGGTTTTGACCATACTTCACCACGCTGGGTTAGTGGGGTGGTCAGGGGGTGGGTGGCAGAGAGCGGGGGGTGGGGGGCGGTGCGAAAAGGGGCCAATACCATTTTAGATATGACTCACACGCTGCCGCCGCCGCTGCTGCTACTCGTGTTCGCCGTGGCTTGGATTCGAACTCGGGGTTCTCCCCGTTCACAGCGCTAGCGCCCGCTAAGCCCTGCGCCGTCGCTGGAACAAACAAAAAAAAACGTGGAAGCACGCCGGCTCTTGGATTTGTCCCGCGGGCTGGGACAGAGCGCGCTGCTACTGCTGCTACTGCACCCAGCACACAAACACTGCGGCACTGCCGGTCTGAGACAGCTCTCTCGGGCGTTGAGCGCTCAGCTCACAGGAGGCAGTCTACCATTCCTCCTTTATCCTCCTCATCGTCATCATCCTGCTGCTGCTTGTTCTGAAGCAGGAAGCAGCAGCAATAGTTGGAGAAACAGCAGCAGTGTCAGGAAGATCCCTTTCCAGTGCGAGAGAGGAGAGACGGAGGCACCTGGGCTTGCGCGCGCGCGTTAAGCGGGTGAAGATGATCGTGGTGGTGGTAGGGGACTGAAGAACAATGAAAAAGGGGAACCGCAAGCACTCGGTGAAGAATTAAAAGAAGAGGAAGCAAACGACGACAAAGATGCAGGGCAGGCAGAGAGAAATCAACAATGCATTTGGAACGATTTTCCAAGCGGCGTCAATATGAATAAATTGCGTAATATGTAATAAATAATGCTAGACGTGTATATCGTGGAATAGGGCAAAACGCTATCTTTTCTTTTATTTCGCGTTTCAAATCAATCGATCGCGACGTCAAGGAAGACCATTTACGTGCCGGGGAAGAAGACGCGTGTTTTGTCAGATGTACACCGGCGCAGCTCAGAAATAACGTGATCCCATTGTGCTACCCACCTCTTCCATTTATCCCCCCCCCCTGCCTTCTGTCTCAACCTCATCTCGCACATCTCGCTCTCCGCCCCCACCGACATCTCTCCCTCTCTCCGCCGTATCGTCGTCATCCCACCATTCCGCCCTTCCAACCGCCTGCGTTCGCGTGTACATATATCATCACCATCATCATCATCGTCGTCGTCGTCGTCCTCATCTTCAACTTCATCACCACCACCACCATCACCACCACCACCGGCATCATCTCTCCTCCTTTCATCGCTCGCTCGTTTGCCTGCATGGCCGGCGTGGCGATAAAGGCCGGCCGCTCCGATGGCAGGCGGAGTCCTTCCTCTCGGGAGGGAAGCTCCTTCGTGTTGCTGATGCGAGCGTGAAGGCCACGGAGGAGCGTCAGTTGTTGGCTCGGGCCCCCAGCCTCACCCGGTAAGGACATTCACGGCGTGTGCCATCGACCGACGGCTTGCGGGTCTCACCCGCTCGCATTTCGTGCCGGTGAGCGCATTTTTTTTGGTTTTGTTACATTTAATATACCGTGCATATTAATCCGATATATTATACACAATTATATAGATTTTATATATGTACATTGGATGTGGCTCATTATATGTTGTATAAGGTGTGGTGAGTGTGTGTGTTTGTTTGGTATGTGTGGAAACGTGTTATAGTGTGGGTTTCTATTTGTTTTGTAATACATATTTATGAAAAAATGTGTTGTCTGTATTTTGGCTCCACGTTACAAGTATAATTTTATACCAAAGGATGTCCGTGCAACACCCAATAATAATATGTAACAACCGTAATTGAAAGAAAAAAACCCTTGCATTTGTTAAAAAAAAAAATTGCACATTTATGTGGACTCATTGAGTCCGTATAAATGCAATAATTATTCATTGTTTTTGTTGGAGCGTTGTTCACGTTTTTAATTCAAAGCTGGCGGCGGGAATCAACGTTAGTCTGGGTGCTCATATGTCACGAACACGGGAGACCAAGTGGCCATGATTATTGGTATTGTTTATCGTCTCACCCGGTCTATTTGATCATTCCTATTTATAAAGCCCTGCGCATTGTGTGACGCCACTGGCGGGTCGAGATGTCTCTTTTTTTACACCAGGCGGAAGTGACGCCGTCATTCCCTTTGTGTAAAAATTGCTTCTGCAAGAATGGGTTATGTCATCTGCCTCAGTGGGAAGGGGCCTTGATAAAAGGGTGATTGGAGTGATTTGTTATTATTCGTGTTGTTGTTGTTGTTGAATATGCTGATGTCCCTTTTGTCTTAACATTCCGGAGGAGAACACACACTTCGCCAATGGTGCTGACACCTCCCCCACCCCTTCCACATCTCCTTAGTCTAATTGATATAATATTGAGTGTTCTATCGTTTGAGCAGTCAAGAAATTACTTTGCCTTCCCCAAATCTGGCCAAAGGGGAGAATGCCACATCCCGTGCAATGCCCGAGGCAGTTTCTGCCTTATGGGAAGCAAATGAACAAATGTGCAAGGGCGCTGGAAATGATTCAAGATGGAAATATATATAGTGACCAGGGTAAACTACACGAAGGGCTTTTATTTTTACACATTTTCTGGCCGACGTTGAGATGGGTTCGAATTCTAACAGCACCCTCGTGCATACCCAGTCTGCATCCTCTCCTATATATCACAGCCACCAACCAAATTCCCCCTTCCCCCTTAAAAATGGAACACTCTGGCTGCTGCTGACTTACAATTCGTGTGTGTATGCACTGTATACACACCTCTTATGAAGCCACCCTCGTGCCTCATTGTGCGTGGAAAATTACATTTTTTTATTTTGTGCAGCGGTTGTACCCTTGGAATATATCTAAAAAAAAAACCAACGCACCAGCCACTAATTTTGTTGCCATTTCATCATGTGGCATTTGTGGTGACATTCTCGCCCATGTGTGTATGCCAGCGCGTGCGCGTGTGTGTGCCACATTTGGAGCCGTGGGGAGCAGCTGTGTGGTAGTAAGCGCAGCAGAGATTTGAACCCGAAGGCCCCGAGTTCGATTACGACTGACGGCCAAGACTTTTGACAAAGATCAGCAACAGCCCCGGGCCTTCGCTCGCTCGATCGACTCGGCCTCAAATAAGTACCTGGCACAATGCGTAAACACACCGCCACTGGGAAGACAAAGGCGGGCCAGTTGTGGTGCCGGCCACCCACCCCCCCCCCCCCCCATCGTGTGCCACGCCGCTCTTCGTAGGCGCTCGCTAACGACCACCCTTGCCCGGCCAGTCTGTTAAAGGCTATATGGGAGACCTCTGTCTTTGTGTCACGTTCACAGGATAAGGGATGCAAGTGAGCAGACATGGGCAGGCGACAGACGGTGCAGAATGACGGAGGGCCACCAGCTTCTCCACACTCGCCGCCGGCATGCTGCTTCTGTTGGTGCTGTTGCTGCACTTGCTCCTGGTACAGTATACCCTGTTCCATCATCAGAGCCCAGAGGGCGGCCTGGGCAATTCGATTGTTTTGGCCACAAATCACCTGCACAATTTGCACTTGCCATTGCACGCGTTCAGCTGCGGCCGTTTTGTGAATTGGTCTCCCTCAAATTGATTAATTGTAACATTGTGTGGCTTACAATGAATTGCTTTGTACATTTATATGCAGGCCACTGTGTTATTGGGAGAGAAAAAAAAGTGTAACTGTTGCATATTAAGTGTGTTGTTGTTATGCAACATACTTTATACTTAATTCATATCCCTATTTGTGAAAGCCCTTATTTTAAGCATAACAATGCTGATGGGACAGGGTAAGTACTATTTTGTGTACTGTATTTCCATTTATTATTGGACACCAAACACTGTTTTGTTCTTACACACACAACATATAACGACACTAAATGAAAAAAAAAACATTTGTATGAAACCACACTGTCTTCATTTATCTTTCCCTTAAAAAAATTCCATTAAAAAAACACAATTAAACGTAAAATATGAATGCGCGTGCAACGGTGAAAAATCGTTGCTTTGAGATATCATTGAAATATCGTTGTAATCGATGTGCAAGTGAGCGGTGAATGGGACCACCTGTGTGGTGCATCTCCCATGCAGCATTACGATGGGAAACGAGGAGGCAACAAGGAGGAAGAGCAGGCGTGCATCCCGCGAAACTCGGATTGAAATGGTCCAAAACAAAGACAGCAGGTATTCGTTGATTTATTTTGCTTTGCCGATACATTTTCCTCAACGACAACTTCAAAGGGAATCTTAACAATCACACGTTGTAAGCTAAATTTATAAAAAAAAATTTTCAGGGAAGTGTGCGGCAAAAGAAAAGGCAATCTTACCACAGAGAATATGATGCTGAATGATATAAAATTTGTAATGATCATGTTGTTTTACGGGGTTGTATGATGTATATTGTTATTAATTTAATTCCAAAGGTTCTGAAATGTTGCTGTGGTGTAATGTTTATCATACCTGTACTTGCAATCCAGAGGCAACCAATCTCCCGATGCAGCAATTGAAACAATGGTAACATTTCTTAAATTCCCCCACCTTTGTCCAACCCAATAGTATTTACAGAGCTATTGTATTGGTAGGTTGTGTGTCGTGGGATAAAGTGTGGGTATTTATTCCAAGATTTGGCCAAATACCTCCGGGATGAGCTTTCTCAAGTGGAGACCCTTCAATCGGCAGTGGCTTGGTGAAAAACATTGCAGTGCTGCACTTTTACCTTCATAAATTTTATTTCAAAGGTACTGACATGTTCAGAGTTTGAGCAGAGACATATTTCAAAGAAATTTTTTTACAAGTAACATTTCTCTGCACGACTACAAAGGGTGTGTATGATTTCGCCTTTCACGCAGTACAAACATATCCTCTAAGGAGTATGTAATACTTTCTATATGAAACAAAAGGATGGTGTAAAATGTTTCTGAAGTATACATCAGGTTCAAAGCTTGAAATTGGAGGGCATTATGACCGACCACTCATACAACTGCTTCCTTGTGGCAGGGTGGCAGTGTTATAATGCATGGCTTTCAGTTAGAAGATTGTGAGTTAAAATCTCAGTCGAAGGCTGACTCAGCCCACCTTGCCTCCAGGGTCAATAAAAATGGAATAGCTTTGTGGATAATTCAGCAGTGATTGTCCTCTCAAAATTACGCCATTGGAATGTGGAATTTCTATCGCTGCCTCAACATTATTCAACTCATTGGAGTAGAAAATCAATTTGAGCTTTTGAGTTAGCCTAACATGTCATTTCAACGAGCAAACCCCAACATATATGTAAATCATATTCTTGGTTCTTTCGGTAAAGTCACGTTTTGAAAATTTGAAATTTTCTTGTTGTGAATTTCACACCTGATGATGATTGCTTGTGTTGCAGTCGAAACGTCGTGAGAATTTTATTGTTTTATTATTTTTATTATTTTATTGTTTCCCTTCTACGTGACTTTACCGAAAGAACAAAGAATATGAATCGCTGCAGTCACGAAAGCTTTAAATCAACATACATGTGAACCCTTTCCCATTCCAATGACGTACATGTCCGTCATCAATTTTTCTTCCAATTCCCTTCCGATGACATGCCCGTTCGTCATCGACGTACAGGCACGTAAGGGCGCATCATCGGAACGGAATTGAAAGAAAAAATAAATTAACTGTATCGGTACCGAGGCTCGAACAAGACCATGCGGGAGGGTGTGTGGCACAGTTTGGCGCACGCTATCGTACAGTGCGGTCGTGTCACTACAGTTCTCTGTGGTGAGTACAATGTCTTTAAAAACAGGCACTATGCCTCTCTAAATAAAATTAATGCTGAGTCCCTTGCGTGTTCTGATATTCAGTGATGAATGGGACCCACCCTGCAACTTGCATGCATCTTGGAACGGGAAAAGGTTCAACAAGCTTGACTCTGCTTATAAGAACCAGAATGTTCAAAAAACAGTCCAGTTTTCTTCCTGAGTAATATTTTTCTGACTTATTATTATATATGCTCTTACTCATAATGCTGCAAAACAACCTAAATGAGATTGTATACCAGCCAGTCAACGTGTTCTGGAAATATTAATAAAGCAGCATGGATTCTGAACTTATGCATTATTTACATTTTAGTGAAGGGGGCAATACGCATTGTTAAAAGTGATAACCCCCCCCCCCTCCGTAAAACACAGACAAGCAGTTTGGGACTTTAAGGGTAGCAGTGTGAGTTTGTTGTGGTGCAAAGTGCCATTGATCGAGGATGGTAATGGGTAGGCATTGTGCATGGCCTTACTCTTGGTATGCTTTGCTGATAGTCTGGCATCTGTAGTCCCTTGCTCGACCAAACATTAGACAGTAATGAACACGGACAGATGTGCAGCACAGTCCAGATGCAAGAGCTCTCCGTTGACCCATAAATGTTACGTATATAATGCCAATCGTCACACAATGAAAACTGCAATCAATGGCCAGTGAGCATATGAGAAAGGAAAACATTCACTTTGATTGGAAAATTGTTCAGCTTCATTACAGTCTTTGGAAGGGGTTCTCTCCAGGTCCCTTCACCGGAGGTCGTTTCTGACAGCGGTGGCTTGTGAGCAAGACATTTGAGGCATCTGCCTTTAACTCGCCACAGCGGTTTCCGAGGAGATCACTCGACGGCAAAGGGGAACGGCTTGCCATCGCAATATTTGTGAGTGCGAATTCCCCGGCTGAGGGTTGGCACGTGCCAACTTCCGTGCAGGATCGATAAAGAAATGAGTAGCACTTTGCAAAGGAAGTCAACCGTGATTGTCCTATGAAGAGGACGTGTCCCCGTCAAATGATTGTGAAACTTCCAACACTGGCTCGGGGCTGTAAACGGGAGATGCGCACGGCATCGATTCCCATTGTAGCAGGGCATCACTTCGCCTTGAGAGCGATTACACTACCAATGACATTCATATTACTTTCCCGCACCTCCGATTAGCACGGTTGGCTGTGTGCGGTGCAAAAGAAGTTCAACATACATCCGGAATCGAGAGTGAGGATTTCACGATGTATTTGCCAAATAATTGTTTGCACTTTCTTGATGAGGTCTAAAATGTATGTTTTAAATTGTTCCTCCCCCTCAACCCATCCACTCCCAAAGCAGTGGAAAACCATCGATGGAGGAGGTGCAAGTGTGGGGTCAGTCTTTTGACAAGCTGATCCGGAGCACGGGCGGAAGAAACACTTTCCGAGAGTTTTTACGGACTGAATTCAGTGAAGAGAACATGCTCTTTTGGCTGGCCTGCGAGGACTTGAAAAGAGAAGCTAATAAACGAGCCGTTGAAGAGAAGGCCCGGGTGATATATGAGGACTATATCTCGATACTGTCTCCCAAGGAGGTGTGTGGGAATGTTGTTGTTCCCCTAAATATTTTCGCGTCGTTTCAGTACATCACGTGCTGTCCGTTAATTAAAAGAAAACGTGCCCCCCCCCCCTCCTCCCCCCTTTGCATTCCTGCATTTAAAAATAACACCCCACTCCTATTCCTGTCCCACGGTAATGCTGTCATGAAATTACGTGCCAAAGTTCACGACAAATATCTGAATATGGGGTTGCTTTTGGTAGACACTGTATAAAGTTGATGCAATAAATATTACTTTTAAAGAAAATATTGTCGGAGCCTGGGAGCGCGTCTCCTGGCATCGTGTTTGGTCTTTAGTCAGCGTATTTGCACACTTTATATATTTAAATAAACAAATAAATCTAGAACTTAATAACAGAAGGATAACTTGTACACTTTGACTTTTGACTTCACAGGTCAGCCTTGACTCCCGCGTACGAGAGGTTATCAATCGGAACATGCTGGAACCGACGTCCCACACATTTGACGACGCGCAGTTGCAAATCTATACCCTCATGCACAGAGACTCCTACCCACGCTTCTTGAACTCACAAATTTACAAATCCTTACAGGATAGCCTTGCAGAGTCATCCTCCGAGTCTTAAGTTCTTCGGCGCCTAGCCGGAAGTCGAGCGTTAAAAAAGAATGGATGGGAGTGAGACGTCTGATGTATGAGCAAACCACTTTCTGTGACGACAACTAAGGCTGGAACAATGTCTACTCAGGCTCTTTTTTACTTTATAACTTGAAACATATTTTGGTACTGTGTGGACTTTTTTTTCTTCTTCATTATTTTATTAAATGCCATTCTCTCTATTTCCCTTCCCCCCCCCCCACCACCACCACCACCACCATTCTGTTTAATGATATTTAGCATATGAAGTCTCAAAATGTGTGCATCGATTCAGGAATTGTTTGGTTAGGGTGTCTAGAAATTTAAATTAGCAGGTCTAATTCGGAAGGTAACTATGATCTCAAAAGTTTACAATCCGGCGTCATATCACAGTCTGGCAATGTAATTGTGAACATTTTTGTTGATAGTTTCTTCTATGCAACACATTTGCTATGCTTCGTCCTGATTTTATCTCAAACAGCAAACGTATCTTTTTTGTCCCTATTTTTAATGTTTATACTTTAATGATGAAGCATGCCGAAATTTTCAAGCAATAACATGAGAGGATTTAAACCAGAAGTAAGTAATTTTTGAAAGAGGAACAAAATATATTTACTTACATGCAAAAAATAAATAAAGGGGTTATTCGATTTCATGTATAAAATGTTTTGAGGATTGTAAAAGTTTCGATATTGCTGTTGATCTTTTAAATGAGGGTGAATGTGAAACAGACGATGAAAACGAAAGCGTATGTACAAAAGGGTTTCTAAATATTTAAGCTTTACCGTATCCACCGTCATCAAATTTGACGGGTCTAATGATGCTTGCATGAACATTTTTAGTGTGCACCAACCAAGGGATAGATAAATATCATGTAACCTTTTGCTGTTTCGTTAATTTTTCCAATTGTGCCCATCTGTGCAGAATAACTTGCATTGTTATTGATAGCTAAGCCCCAACCACTGCAGATGTTTACGTTAATGTTGGCAACAAATGGAAACAAAAATGACTTTAGCACCTATACTTTGGAGGAAAATTTCAAAATAATGTTTGATGACAGAGAATAACCTTGTTCGGTGACATCTTTTAAAACATTGAGAGACATAAATGATTAATAATCCAGCTGAAATTTGCGATTTGTTTAAACCAGCAATAGAACAGCACCGTTATGCTATGAATGTTATAGTTTTGATCGTCAGATTTTATGATATAGATATGATTTTAATGACAAATTCTGAGCTATAATGTATTCAATGTATGTCTACCGCTTATATTCACCCTGCCTGCAGCTTGTACCATTTAAAAAAAAACATACTAATAAATAATCTTAACATTTACATTCTTAATAACTGTCAAAAGTATTGCTGATTCATAAAATGCACAATGCAAGCACACGTATTTCATCATTTGCTTGGCACTGTCAAACATATGCTTGATAAAAGCTATCTTCCAACACCAGGTAAGTTCAGATCAAGCTATGTCGTACTGTACCTGAATATGGCGTTATTGCATGTCATGTTATGGGTTACACTACCATGCAATTAACTGAAGTAATATTTTGCATCAGGGAACATTTTTGAAATGCAAAAGGTTGGGGGTGTTGGATATGCTCATGCAATTCAGAGGCTTTGAACACGGTGCATTAACATACAATGCCATTATGCCAAATGCGTACTCTACTTATTTTACCTGATATTGGTCACTTGTAACACGATGGCAATTTTATTGTGAGTTTTAAAATTTGATTATTAAAACAATATCTAAGGCATTAGAAACCCACCACATTTGATATTGCATATTCGAGACCTTTTATTCAAACGATTAACAACATTAGACACAAAATATGGTGACATTGTATTCAGTATAAATATAATGTAACAAGTTGACGTCGTTGAGTGGCTCAGTGGTCATGACTGCCGTGGTGGCTCCGTTGAGATCCTGTAATCGAATTTGGGCAGCCACCCGTTATTGTAGCAGGTTTAGGAAGTGCAGAACGTTGATGGGTCTCTGTCCAGTCAACAGTGACTGCACACAAAACCCCATCATGTAAAATTTAGTTTTCCCACTTCATTTGGATATACTCCAATTCTGTGCATTGCAAAAAATATATATACGCATTTGATAAGGATTCTGATATAAGCGTGAACATTACTCTCATATCAGAACCATACGCAGGATGGATAGGATATAAACTGGCCTCCCTGCTCTGTGAGAGATACGAATGGATAGGCCGACTTTGTCTCATGACTTGGCATGGGGGTGAAGTTTGGAACATTTACACTATTACTGGTAGGAACCTCCTGGTTACACCAGCCCACAGGGGATTATTGTGTCCGTCCGTCCATCCGTCGTGCATCCAAAAATGGGAGGGGTGGAGAGGGGTGGGGCTGGGTGGGGAGAGGAGGGTGGGGAGGGGCTGGGTGGGGAGGGTGGGGAGGGGCTGGGTGGGGAGGGTGGGGAGGGGCTGGGTGGGGCTGGGTGAAGAGGGGAGGGTGGGGAGGGGCTGGGTGGGGAGGGTGGGGCTAGGTGGGTAAGGTGGGGAGGGTGGGGAGGGGCTGGGTGGGGAGGGTGGGGCTGGGTGGGTAGTGGGAGGGGTGGGGCTGGGTGGGGAGGGGCTGGTCACCCCGTGGTGCCCTTATAAAACTCAACGTTTAACCTACTCACGCCGGCTTGTGCCCACCCTCACAGTCGGGCATATTTCCGGAATACACCACGTGGTGCCGCCGTTGACCCTGGCCATTGACCGAGCAACCCAACGTTCCTACCAGCTCCCTCCGCAGGAATATGTTATAATTCAGTCTAAATGGCATAACATCTTAGAACAACTGCGTGCCTTTAAGAACCCACCAGGTAATCGTTTGCAATCATAAACAATACTAATAACAAGCAGTACTTTTGAATTTGAGTGCAACATCAAAACCATCTGCAAGAAGAGTTCACATAGCAAGACTATATATGTATACCAGTTCCACAGGGGGTCTCAAAACGCCACTGTTAACAGTGCCTGAAGTTATCTTCCCTCTGGGACCGCATTTCTTTAATAAAAAAAATCCCTAGCTCGGAAACTATGATAAACATACACAATGACTCAGAATGACTTTCTGATTGTCTGATTTCAGATTTTAGGACATTTAAGGGATATACAATTTTGGAGGGGAAATTACAATAGCTTACTATTAAATATTGTTATAATTTAACATGCCAAATGATCACACAAGTGATGTCATCCCATGCCACATGACACTACTTTTTGTGGAAAAAGGCAGCATTGAAACAATATAAGTGATGTCGCTTCTTCTGATATGCTTTTGGATCAAAACAAAACTGGGTCACTTGATATTGTATATCTCTGCCTATTTTTTATAATTTTACTTTTTTTCAGGTTATTCTTGGAAAATGGAAGACACATTCCCGAATAAGATTTTTTTTTAAACGTGACAAATTTCAACAGTGAAACACAACCGTTACAGTAAATCCACTTGGAATCGGTGTTGTTTGCCTCAGGGGCAATACTCATGACGTTTTGTGAGCTATAGGCAGGGTCAGAGAAATGCAACGGCTTTAGAAGGTGCAGCTTGAGGCCTCACATTATGACCCCCCCTCCCCCAAGAATATGCATGTGATTTTGTCATATTTGAAACGCATATAACTGTACTGCCAATCCTATAGGAAATGTGTCAATGAAAGGCATATCGTAAATATGCCTATTGTTACGAGTTACATGCTGATTTTTTTTTTTACACGTGACATTTACAAAACACAACCGAAATAACCAAGGTGAATAACAATGGAGTTATTGACATTGGGCATGGGGTGATGGTAAAACAATCAGGGGAAGGAATTAAATATACAGGGAGGAACCCCCAAAACTAGACTATAAAATGCTCTGGGCCCAACACTTAAGCTGACCCTGGATATGGGAAATACATTGCATAAACCTTAAATGCAGTACGCACGGCAACGTTTACAACCACGGTAGTGTACATAGTTTATGTGTGTATCTTTATGTAATAGTCAACTTATCTCGCTGTTTGTTGCTCCAGGACCTTCTTGTAAACTAGAATGTAATTGATCGAAAGAGCAAATTCCTGTATAAGCGTGCTCGTATATATATAGGTAAATAAATAAACAAACCAACAGACAACTTGTGTGATAATATTTACAAGCCGTGGTGATGTTATTGAGATCTAAACCATTTACTCTACTTCCCAGGTTTATTTTCCATGACCTTGAAAATTAGGCTTTTTTTTGTGCCTGCAATTCCCATCCCTGCTGATAATGTTTTCAAGTATTCTGTTGTCGGCTGCCATTACTTATGTCCCGTTTAAATACAGGCGTTGCTTATCTCCCATTTAAAAGCAAGCATTATATAAGCAGAACTACATTTTGTTTCCATAAGGAAATAAAATACATATTTTAGTCCATTAGCCTTTTCGTTTTCCGGAATAATATTAGCAAACAGTGCTCTTTTAAGCAATACATTTCTGGACTCGTTTCAATCCCCTGGGCCTCATCAGCAGTCAGACTTGCTGAATAAATGCTGTTGGATTACCAGATGTTGTTGGCAAGAACACTCACGTGAAAGTATGGCACCTATTTAAGACAAAAACCGATACTATACACAAACGTATTATGCATTGCTGTAGAGCATTATGGGTAAAAGCATATATACGCAGATCTTCATTTTGTTATACACAAGGTAAATAAAAACTAGTTTTGGCCCATCAGCCGAATTGATTTTAAAGCCAAGTCGATTTTAAAATAAAGCAATGCGACACACTTTAAACTCCGTCACAGAATTCTACAAGGAAAACATGGGAAATATATTTGTTTGTTCCATTAATAGATAAAAAAAAATAATTAACAAAGTCCATGTCCTTTCAAAACAAAACACCAAACATCGTTGTGCTTTCATCTTCACGTTAATACACACATCTGTTGTATCTAGTAAGCACATGGAGGGCATGCGCATGAGGTGGTAAGAGGAGGGATGCCCTTATGTGTACATATCAACCCTGTAGCCTGATCTTGTTTAAAGGGGGACACACGCAAACTTCTGGGTGGGGTGAGCAGAGAGCACAACACAGTAAATGACAAGCAAACTTTAAGCAGAATGAGTCACGATACGACGACGACGATGATAATAATTATCTATTAGGGGAAGCCGAGGCTTCACTAAGGGTAGAGGGCATGGGCTCAGTCCATTTTTAGCCCCGCCCCTCTGTCCCCATACGATGGGGCTAAGAAAATATGAAGGGGCCATTAATAACGTGGCTTGCAGCAGAGACGTTGTTCTCAACTTTGGAAGGCGTTCATACCTGCGAAGATGATGTGTTCAATTCACTTTTGGAGTCGCGCGTATTCGCACCTCTCTCAGTGTTCAACGATCTTTCGTGGCTGCGAGAGAAAGTTGGCACTGGTTAGCCGCACAGTAGACAAAGGTGGCGATTGACTTTGCAATACACCACCGACAATATTAGCTGAGAAAAATGTCACTGTCGTGTAGGACCATTAGACAATTGCACGTGTGTAAATAGTAAATACACACACACACACACGACCTATTCACGTTTAACCCCATAGAGTGAATGAATGAGGTGGGTAGGAGGCAAGTGATGCCAATGATGCGAGTTTGTGTTTAATCATTCTGCTGTGGCCAGGAGCAGTTGACGTTGGGCGTGTGTGGAATGGACCGATTTTCTCACGTCGAGGTCAAGATGCAGCCATGCAAGGCCGTAATTATAATATATATTGTGGGGGACACATCCCCCCCAATATTAAAGTATGCTCAAATGTCCCCCCCCCCCCACCAATATATTGCTATTAAAAAATAATTTGCTATGCTATGTAAATAAAAACAACAATTTGCTATACCTTAAATTTCGATTTAAAGCTTTCGTGACTGCAATGATTCATCTTCTTTGGTTCTTTCGGTAAAGTCACGTAGAATGAGAATAAAATAATAAATTGATAAAATAAAATAACACAATAATATTCTCACGACGTTTCGGCCACAACACAATAATATTCTCACGACGTTAATATTCTCACGACGTTTCGGCCACAACACAAGAAGGGGCCCCTTCACCTTCATCAGGTGAAGGGGCCCCTTCACCTGATGAAGGCCGCTTGTGTTGTGGCCGAAACGTCGTGAGAATATTATTGTGTTATTTTATTTTATCAATTTATTATTTTATTCTCATTCTACGTGACTTTACCGAAAGAACCAAAGAAGTTGCTATACCTTGGCCACAATATCTGGACTTGTCTTCATATAAATAAATGCATAGATTTCTGTTTGTATGATTGTGGTCATGGTTGTACTTTAATCCCTAATCTCTGCCAT